ATGAATGTTTAGCACTTATTATATTTATATTTATATTTATATTTATATTTATATTTATATTTATATTTATATTATTTATATTATTTGTCTCAGGAAAGTTGAATTGTAAATAGTATGTTTTTTCTTAAAGTAGTCTTTGCCTGCAATAGAGGAGCTAATTTCACTTGCGTCTTCACAGTAGGAGAGAAAAAAGAAGTAAATAAACTAAAGAAGCAAGTATCAAAAAAAAAGTACGTGAGAGACATTATGGTAAATGCACAGGGACTGGAGTAGGACTGCCAGAATTCAAGACTTGGCTATTTAAAATTATCAGCTGGGTATTTTAGGGCAAGTTGTTTTGTTTCTCTGTACCTCAGTTTCTTTATTTATAACATGGGGATATTAATATTTATTTCATAAGGATATTGTAAATATAAACTGAGTAAAACTATACCTTATTCCTAGTAACTACTCTATAAATCATAATGACAAAAAAGGAAATCCGTATTTTTAATTCTGTCAAAAAATAAGGAGAGGAAGTATGAGGAAATATACTAAAAAGGATCAAATACCCAGAGGGAAAAAAAAAATTAGAAAAAGTAACTTTTTAAATGGGAGATTATTGGAAATTTTAAAAGTTAGTTTCATTCACATGGTGAGAGCAAAGTCATTATTTCCTAAAGGTAAAGAGGCTGGTTAGGTAAAAAGAAAAGTAGTATGAAATGTGGAAACTGCTGATTTGAATTTTTGAATATAGAAAGGAAAGAAATAGAAGTTAGATCAGAGATACTCACATACCCCAGCTACTCAAGAAGGATTGGCTTGTGTAAAAGAATAAAAAGGAGTTTAAAAAGGCAGAGAAATTTGAGATAGGATTACAGAGGAAACGAGATGACACCAGTGGTGGAAAGGTACAACTTTAGAGTGTTAAAACGCAGGCTGTGAAGAGTCTTGAGTTGGAGTTCAGTGTTTTATCTACAGTGAAAAGAATGCAGAGATGGGGAGAAAAGTGGTTTGGAAAACTGAAACAGTGTGAAGAAGTCAATTGTGGTAGATGAGGAAACTTATTCTTGTTTCTTTTAAGTAATGAAGAATGCCAGTTGAAAGGATGATGAAATACGTGGGATTGAATGGTCCAAGAGAAGGACAAAATATAGAATAGCAATTATGAAGAAAGTAAGCTATGAAAGAAGAATATATTGTGAAAGATCTTTTGAAATTAAGACAACACCAGTTTATATTAGGGCTAAGTAGTTCCAGATAGGTCAGGCATTGGAAGAAAGGGGAGAATACTTGTCAGAGGGAAAACCAAAGGTGATAATTACATATTTAAATATTATACCTATTATATTATAGAGCAGTATGCAGATTTATTTTACATAACTGGAAAACAGGTTTGGGAAGGTGATTATTTAAGTAATGTTACTCAGTTAGCTATTGGTAAATTCCAAATTACAATTGAGATTTGTTGTCCATTGTTGTGCTCATTGTACCTCTGAATATCAGAAGTTCTTGACAATCTATTAGTGTAGATTTTTTCTGAAGGTAAGCTTTATTTATTATAGAATTTATTTATAGTAATATTCTCTGGTCCAGCAAAACTGGCACTTGTTAACAACAATACATTTTGTAATTTGTAATTACTTTTCAGTTTTATTACCCAAAACCTAGTTTTATATATATATGTAACTAAATGCCTATTGTTAAATCTTGAAATTTTAAAAATTTTACTCTGAAGAATCCACTATTTTAAAATTATTAAATACTTCAAATTTTTCTGCAATAACTAACTCAACTTTTAATGTTAAAAGTGGAATCCATAAGCAGCCATTCAATTCATGTAAACAGAAATATCCTTTCCACTTGAAAAGTAAATTTTTTATAAAAATGACTGTCCTTCATAATCACTATTTGATAAATGTAAAAAAATAAATTTTAGAGGAGTGTGTCCTTTGTAAATATTATTTATAACAGATATTTTAATTTATTGTTACTATATGGATATTTAGTTACATCTTCATGATGTATATCAGAAATTTTACTAAATGATTTTTTAACTTGAAATCACTAAACTTGAAGTCTTTGTTGTAGGTAGGAGTAAACATTTTGTTTATAAAATATTAGGGAAACAAACATATTGTGTATTTATATTATATACTGAAATATTTCTTTTGGATTTTTCTGTTCTATTTTTTGGAGTGATTGAGAAAAACTATCAAAGCTGTTTCATTAATTAATAGAACTTTTAAAAAATATATATATATATTTTATTGATTTTGTACAGACAGGAAGGGAGAGAGATAGAGAGTTAGAAACATCGATGAAAAAGAGTCATCGATCAGCTGCCTCTTGCACACCCTTACTGGGGATATGCCCGCAACCAAGGTACATGCCCTTGACCGGAATCGAACCCTGGTCCCTTCAGTCCCCAAGACAATGCTCTATCCATTGAGCCATACCGGTTTCGGCTCATTAATTAATAGAACCTTTTAAATTAAAAGCATTTCTTTAATATCTTTGTAACTTCCTCTTTATGAGAACAGTTGCAACTAGAATTTAAAAGATGAACTTAACTGTAGGCTTTCTGGGATCTGTTGTTAGAAGTTAACTCGTAGAGAGAGGATACTTTCTTTTAGTTTAACAGTAACTATAGGAATACTAGATAGCTGGAAACCTAATCACATGTTCATTTCATTACATGTTCATTATTTTAGAAAATATATTTAGAGACAATTTGCTGTAATTTTTTGACAATATTATCCCTTGTAGCCCCAAGCTTATCTAGTTTTTACCTTTTTACTTAAAATATGATCTCTAACTTATATTTAATAACCAAATCTTTAATGAGTTTTTAAATGTTTAATATTATCCCAAAGTTTAAAATTATTGTTTTTATTTATGTGAGAAAGAAAGAGCATTAGAATTAGGGACGATATTGATGAATCTTAGTTGTGTTGATTATTAATGTATGCCCAATGTTTTATATATATGCCAAGCAGAAAGATATTAAATAAATTGATAGAAGGTAATATCCATGTGATTAAGAATTCTGAGATACTTGATATTACTACTTTCTCCATGCAGGTCTTTGTAATAGTTTAAGACCTTGGTGAGAATTCGTATCCCGTGCAAGGTAGATGTCATAGTGAGCATGATCCTTTAGATGATTTCACCCTGATGGGATAGAGGAGCCCAGCACACATACCTGTACTTAGTAGGTTAGTGGATTTAGATTCTAACGTAATTTGGAGAAACAGCCTCTAGATTTATTTTACATCTACTTAGTCACCCTCCTCAGTAATATTTATAAGATTACTTCAAAAAAGATTTTAAAATGTACTATCTACTCACAGGAATTCTCTACAAAAAATATATATATATATAACCAGAGATGAGAAAATAAAATCTCTACTGTTCAGTTCATAGTAGCATGAAATTCAATACCATATGTCCTATCATAGTATTGCAAGGAAAAGAAAATATTAGGGCACATTTTAATGGTGGAAATTTAAAGTCTCTCTTGAGAAACGACAGGAATTTATTACAAAGAACAAAAGCAGAAAATGGATTTAAAGATTTGTCCTTTTTATGAGATGTTACTTTGGAATGAGATGTTACTCCTGTCCCCTTTTTAAATATGATTTAACAAAACCCTTGATGTGACTCAACATTAAGTCTAGTTTTTATCCAAGTATCTAAGGTTTCAACTGAGGAAGAACTAGGAATCCCTTGAGAAGTGGACTATTCAAATAAAGCATGACCTAATGTAGCAAGCAATCTTACATTGTTTTTGGAGAACAGTGAGTTAAGCAGGAGCCTGTGAATTTCTTATCCTTTCTTTTACTCTTAACTTCTTTATTCTATCCAAATAGAACTTTTGAATTTAAACGCATGAACATGACTATATTAAGTAATTGCATCTACTTTTCCTGACACTGCTGAACCTTTAAAGTTATGCTTTTGCTCATATTTGAGTAATATTGATGAATATAATTAATATAAAACATAATGTTCATTAGAATTGTGTCTATACTGTAAAATTACTCCACTTCACCTATTCATAAATATTATCTACTGAGGTTGCTACTTAAGAAAAAGAAAAAAGAAAAAAAAATCTTAACATTTTACACTGTTTACTCTTTTACATAAGGTTTTTAAATATTTTAATGAATTCATCAACAGATATATTATGCGCTCATAAGACATTTTATATGTAGTATGTTATTTGCTTGGAAGTGAAGTTAACAATAATTATGGTTCCTAACATTTTGTGCTTATTTTCAAGACAGGCTGATGATGCTATATTATTCCATATTAAATTTTTAGTGTTTAGCAGAAATGATAAAATAATATTATGGCAATTTGTTAAAATGCTATTAGTTACTTATTTATTAATGTGAAGTTAATGTTTACATTTTCAGACGGGCTCTAAAGTTATTAAAAGTTAATATTTTAGAAGATAATGTGATATTAAGAACTCAGAACTGCAAATTTAGTTGCTTTTAGTATGGATCCCTAAATTCATGTGGAATCAACTTGTTGGTGATATTCAACACATTAAGTAGGTGGATACTTTTATGCCAAAGTAAACTTCATTTCACCACTTCTTCCAATCCCCGACTGTATTCATTGATAGGAAAATTACTCTTTCAGTTTTACTCATTGAATTTCTTGAATTTTTGTTTCACCATCTCTTTTCCCCCAAGAAAACAAAGGGGAAGAAAAGAGACTACTATTCATGAATATGGTCAGGATACCTTTAATACTCATGTGAATTTTTATCAGTCACCGTCACGATTTCAAGTCATGAATTTATTTTTACATGCTTATTATGCATGCGTATTTACATACATTGATTATTTAATTGATCTTAAATTTCATTAAATTTGAATTAATAGGAGAATAATTTGTTCATAGGATTTTGTTCTCGTTATATTACATTTTATTTTATTTTGTTTTATTTGAATAATCAGTTTAAGGCTTATAAAGGTTGATTTGCTCCTAAACTGCTTTGTTCCCAGACATTGCCATCTTCCCCAACTACCACCAAGTCCTCTCCATCTGATCCCATGACCACCTCCAGAGCTAATCAGGTACAGTATCATCCTGTCATCTACACCATACCTTTCACGGGTGATTGGCTGCACACTGGAGAAAAAGATAATGGTGGGTTAAGGATGTATTCGTTCATTCACCACGATCAGATTCCAAACAGCCTGGGAAAGAGGTTTTATTTCTGAAAATTTGTATGCATTTTTCACTTTAAACAACAAAAATATATACAGGTGGAAGATTACTATAATTTTGGATTTTCCCCTTTAAATTATGATGACTTTAATAAAGAGCTCTGAGGGTTATTTATTGAGTTGGTGTTTTCTGATCTCCTTATTGTTTCTTCCTTGGATTCTTGGTATATAACTTAAGAATATCATATATGTACAAAATAAATGTTTAAATATGACTTATTGAGCAAAGGTATATCTTTAAAAGTGAGTGCACTTTCATTTGTTTTTTATTTCAGGCATTATTTACTGTGTAAATAATTTTAAACTTTAGATGAAAGCATTTGTAGCAATCTAAAAGTAACTGAAAATTGGTATTTCTGATCATTTCAGTGCTATTTAATGACTCAGGAAATGGTATTTTCTTAGAATTTAATACTAGAGTTTTCTTTGGTGGAGTTTCAAACTGCAAAGTACAAATATATTTTATTAGTATGATTTAATGATTGTCTGGTTCTGAATATTTATAGGTCATTCTTCAAAATGTGGTTAATTTTGGCAAATTTAAGGAAATCATCTAAAATATTTTATGTAATTCATACTGTACTTTAACTTTACAATTGTGGAAAAATATATTTATTAAAATGATTAAACACATTTTCATTTTGTCTGAGTTGAGCTTCATTAAGGTGAGAAATGGTTTTTTTTCTTTAATACTTCCACTTTCTTACTAATACAAGCCTTATGGGATTAGTTAAATATTAAATAAAAGCTTATGTTTTAAATATATTTTTCATAGTTGACTAATAAATCATTAACTTTGAACTATATTTGCTAAATACATTAAGTGTAGGTTTTGCATATCATCTAATATAAGGCTATCATAATTATTTTTCTCTATTGATTCTAATACTTTTTCAATCTTAGAAAAAAATTAAAATAATAACTGGAAGCAAAACTAATAGAATGTTAGGAGTTGATTTTTAGTTTATGCAAAAGCATTTCCTCAGACAAAAATACTTTATAATGCTCACAATTTAGCCCAAAAAAATTGGTTTAAAAAGTATACACCTGTAATGATGAAACACAACACTTCTCTTTGAAGGAAGTGATACTGTCTATAAAGTGAGAACCAAGCTTGTATTAGTGATGCATGAAATTAAAAAGTGTGTGTGTGTTTATGCTTTATATTCCTTATCAATTATATGAGCTATAATTATATGATAATAGAAAGCTATTGGGAAAATAACTGGCTTTATGTTTTTTATGCTTCTTTTGCACTTCATCCTTATTTCTTTCTAAACAAAAACAAGGCAAATGAATGCAACTACAATAAAAAAACGAATGCTTTTTCTGAACATAAAAATTAAAAAATTCTGGATCTAGGAAGAAAAATTTTTTATGAAGTTAGATATGAATATTATTTTATTTATTTTATATGAACATGTGACTTTTATAAAATGATTGATTTAAAAGTCTAATTATATGTTGATGTGTACTAATACATTTTACTCTCTAGATATGTTACTACATCTAATTCTGCCAGAATCTAGTATTTTTCTAATTTGAAATATTAAGTCATTTGTGGTTTTATACTCTGGTCCACTATACTCAGTTATATTTATTAAATATGTTTTATTGTTACTTGTTTTTCTTCTGCTCTTGTATAAACAAGCATTGTAGCTCCTGGAAAACATGAGGCAAAATATAAAAGAACAAAACAAAATCTTTAAATTCATTGAAGAAATTACAGTTATCATTCATCTTGATGTTATCAATAGTTTTATTCCCTACAGTATTTCCCAATAGATTCTATTGATATTGTAAGATAGAAGGTAATGTGGGTTTAGTTGTTTATAGGTCACAATTGTTTCTTGTGTATAATCCTAAGTAAGTTAGTATCACTTCATTATATAGACTTATATCTGTAAGGGAACTGGAATAGGATATATGAAATTTTAACCCCTGCTTCCATAATTAAAATACTTTAAACCTATAAAAAATGATTTTTATTACTGGTTTAGGTTTGCTTTGTTCTTACCCAGCCATTTCGCAGACATGTCTCCAGTTTTATAACTGGAAGAAATGGTACAAGCGCAGAACATTCCATTTTAAATTAAAAATTATTGTTGAATGTGTTCCAGCTAATATGAATGAGGCATAAATGAGGCATGCGGCCTGCCGTCCGTGAGTTTGACATGGTTGGCCTATGCTGTTGAAAGCAGCTATAAACTTTTGTCATGTTAATTTTTATAAACCAATATAAAATATATCCAGACTGTGTTATTTTCATTTTTGTTAATTATTTTAATAAATGAGTTATGATTGTGTTCTAGTTCCAAAATAGTTTGTCTGTTACAAACTAATGAGATCAAAAGAAATTAGGGAAACACGCACCTGAAACCTATATATTCATATTGACCAATGTCACCCCAATCAATTGAATAAATAAAAATTTAAAAACTAAATATAAAAAAGAAATTAGAGAGTATTAGTCTTTTTAAAATCCAAAATAAAAAGCACAAAAAATTATTGAAGAGTTAGTTTTATCTGCAGTTTCAACATTTAAAAATATTTTCTATTCTTTAAAAAATAACTATGTTTCAATACATAGTGAATTTTCCATTCTCAAATTTACGTAGCTCAGACTGACAGACTGTAGCTATAATGTGGTGGCTCTAATAATTTGACTCTGAAAATTGAAGAACTATCATATCAGAAGCCATATAGAATGGAGGCTTAAAGTCAAGATTAGCCGAACTGCTTATATGATCATAGCCTTGTTCTGTCATTTTCTTGCTGAGTAAATTGGGTTCAGTTTTTTGTTATGTTTTTTGAAATTCAAATTATAATAGTACCTCAAAGAATGGACATACAAAATAAATTCATTAACTTTTTTAGAATAGCACAGTTTCTAGACTATAATACTACATTAAGTTAAGTTATATTTTTATTTTTTGAAATATCTTTCAAGTAATAATGAAAAAAAATTATCCTTTAAGATGCTAAGTGATGTGGCACACAACATGTTAAAACTGACATTTTATTTATCTTTAAAGAAAAATTCTAAGATAGTATTGCTGCTTTTCAACTCTAAAATATTTCTGTAATCAAAGTCTCTATGCTTTTAAAGATAGCATAAACTACAATTATTTTCTTCTCTATTGAGAATAGTTAGTTTTTGTCCAATTAATAGTGCAAATGTTATTATATCCCTTTGAGGAAGAAAAATTAACAATATGCAAGTTTGACATTTTTTTACAGATGGAATTTTTAATATGAGAAAAATGTAGAGATATAATAAGTAGAATTACATTATTTGAGCAATGTATTTAAACTTAATTTAAAAAGTCAATTGGTTTAATCTATTCTTAGTTGATATTAATTTTTCAGTCACTTTAAGGTTCAACAAAAAGTTTTGTTAATCATTGGTACTAAAAACTAAATTTCATCCTTAATTTTTTGGTTCCTGGTTGTTAGCTTTTCTGGGATTCTTCTCAAATTTTAGGAAAATATTAAAAAGAGAGTGATTTTAGAATTATGTGCTTTATGGAAATTTATTTTTGTGTGTGTACTGATACATTTGAAATTATATATCAAAATATATAAAAAAACAAATGTAAAATAGGTAATTCATATATAATACCCCTGCTATGGTAACAGAAAAACAAATAAAATGTCTGGTCTCACTTTAAATTCATGACTACATATCTCACATGGGCTCTGACTGCTGTCAGATAATCAATCATAAGCCCATTCACCTTTTTACTTTCTAGATAACTCATAAATTCTCTTCTCCTTTCAATCTTTCTATTTGTTTTCTGTTGCTGTGTAACAAATTACTGCAAACATGGTGTCTTAAATAGCACATGTTTATTATCTCATGGTTTCCATGAGTCCAGAGTCTGGACATCACTTAGCTGAGTCCACTGCTCCTGGTCTCCTAAGATATAATCAAAGTATTGCCTGCGGTGCATTCTCCTCTAGAAGCTTAACCACAGACAATTCTCTTGTAAATCCAGGTGGATAGCAGCATTCAGTTCCTTGCAGCTGTAGGACTGAGGGCCAACTTCTGGCTTTTGCCCTCAGACTCTAGAGACTGCCCAAGTTCCTGCCCCGGGACCCCCTCTACAGGCACTGCTTAGCTGGGATGTTTTCTTCTTGCAATGCTGGCAGACTATTTTCAGGAGACTAGCAAGATGGAGTCTTATTTATTGAACCTAATCACAGAAGGGACTCCTGATCTGCTTTACCATACAGCATAAGCAGAAAGCTACTTTCTATTCCCTTGCCATAGTCTGATGTTTAGAATCAAGTCAGTTTATACCTATACTCAAATGGAGGATATCACCCAAGGTGTAACACCAAGGGGCAATCTAGAATTGTCCCTACCACAACTTCCCATTATTTCTTGCTTCTTCCTCAGACCCAGTTGATGACCTTGATTATTCTTACTTCACTGAGAAAACATGAAGCAATAAAAAATATGAAAACTTTCACAGACTCACAGCAACATATATATAAATATACACACACACACACACACACACACACACACACACACACATATATATATATATATATATATATATATATATATATATATATATATAATCAGCTGGCATGTATACCCACATAGTCTACCTTCTCATTTGTTATGGGTGGTAAACTTTTCCTGCTCGTAGTCATTTTTATTGCACATTAAACCTTGCCCTTTTTATTTTACTCAAGGACATCCTTCTGCAATTCTGCCTTCTCTATCTTTTATCTGTCAATTGTTTTATCTCAGTGGGATCATTTTCATTAGCATACATATATCTATTTTTTCTCCTAGTATAAAGACAAAAACAAAACACACACACACACCTTTT